TTATCTAATAAGGCTGAAATGTATTCATAAAAAAAATATACTCATGTATACACCTTGGTTGGCCACCTCACACCAATTCCATAGCAAATATGTTGAGTGCTGCTGGTTAGTTGAACTTTTGGAAAGTGAAGTCAGATTCAGTCAATGCACACAAAGTCAGTGGTAAGGCGCTCTTTGCTGTAGGCACTGAATCAAGGCCTCTGTTTCAACTTGATTGAAAGGTTGTGGTTGTTCTAAGTTTGTGCAACTCCATGAATGTACAGAGAGACAGGAGCAGAAAGAACACAACGTGGAGGAAAATGAGAACAAAGTTCATGGCATGGAAATCTCTCTCTCTCTCTCTCTCTCACACACACACACACACACACACACACACACACACACACACACACACACACACACACACACACACACACACACACACACACACACACACACACACACACACACACACACACACACACTCCGTTGCCGGCGAACTTCTCTCACTAGCTGCTTGTGGCCAAACAACACAGGCTGAAAGTTGAATGCTATAGCTTTCTTAAGCACATTTCAAGTCTCTACGAGTAGATCTTAATAGATTACTGACATGAATTGAAAACGGCGGCTGATTTGTAAAGGGGAATAAGTTAAGAAGTTTCAAAATGCCTACCAAAGTGCTAATTGCACAGTATTATTACAGGATCACATAACAAGTGTGTTTACCTTGTGTGCATTGCTGGGTCTCATTACATACAATCATGCACCAAGCATGCCTGTTTCACTTCATCATCTTTTGGGACAACAAGGGTTTCTAAACTTATGTGACATTTACTAGTAATTTTCATCAGGGGATTTGTTAACCTCTTTAGAAACAGAATACTATGAATAGGAATTTGAAGTTGTAGGGGAGATGTGAGCATTTCTAAAGATACCTTGGGAGAAGGTTCACGCCTATACTAGGGATGAAACGGTATGAAAATTTCATATCACGATTGTAGTGACCGAAATTGTCACGGTTATCGGCATTATCGCAGTATTGTAAAAATGTGCTGATAAACGCGCTGAAACCATTTCAACAAGTTTTATATTGAAAACTATAAATAAAATTGCCATTTTGTTTGCATAAACAATAAAATAACAGCCACTACTTTTTGTAAACCTATGAAAACCATCTTAAGTGTGCATTATTAATTATTATTATTAATGAACAAGATATGCTGGATTGGTTGACTAAACTGCTTAACGTGTTCTCATGTGCTGTGGACGAACGGAGTCTGCAGACAGCAGCAGAACAATGTGTAGCGTTTTTACAAGAGCAGCTAACACAGAGAGCTTCAGTTTACAAGCTTTACAAACCAAAGCTAAAGATTAGCTCGCCCTGCGTTCACTAAAAGGTTATTTTCTTCAATCAAATTTCCCTTAGCACTCTCATTAAAAACTAAAACACGACCGGACTTCAGATTGACTGAAAAGTATCTGCAGTGGGGAATTTTACCATGGTTTATCGTTATCGTATACTATAGATTAACTGCAGTGAGTTTATTAAAGAGCAGTTAACACCCACTACCTATTCTAGATTTTTTTTTAATTGTCCATGACACATTTATCTACCTCCGTTCATCGCACTACTACACACCACCCTCTTTGATTCTTCAGTGTTGGGGCTATCTAATCCTTCCAAATTATGTAGCAGTAGTGTAACTTTACCCTCCCAGTCACTCTCTCCCTCCAACAAAGGTCATATCTGTAACATAATGCCGACACAGCTATAGATGTTTTTTTTTTTTTTACTGATCTTCAAATCTATCTGTTAAAACATTATGTACACATGACACTATTTCAACAGAGTTGTTGTAACTACAGAGATTTAGAAACATTTAAACGTCCATTTGCCCAAGACACAGAGCTAAAGTTCTGTGGATGTGCAAGATTTAATTCCCTTCACACTCTGGCCACATTATTATTGTGTCTATTGTGTTACAGTGTTGTGTCATGTGGTTTATTTAAGTTTGCTTGGTTTGTCCTTTACTGAGATAGTACTTTAAGAAATATAATGCAGGCTTGAAGTAAAAGAAAATATTTGGATTGCTTGATAAATACAAAATCAGATTTCTATTATCTATGTTTTTATTATATTTCAGGATCGACCACCACAGGTTACTATATTTGTAGCTGTGTTAGGAATTTACTTCCTTTTATATACAAACAATATGTAAGACAATAATCTCTGAACCAAGAAAGTAGTCCTTACAGACACTCTGAACAATACTGCATCTGTGGTTGAAGGCTGTTATGTCAGTGTGACACACAGGCACACAATGCCTCTGTCTCTCCCTTGTTGTCTTGCATGCAGCCTGTTGTCCTGCAAATCAAACACCAGACGGCCTCTTCTTCTGACATTGTTGTCGCAGGCAATGCAGGTGGCTGTAAGTCACAAGTTGATGTTGCTAGCACTGTCACAAAAAAATAGTTATAATGTAAAACAAAGCAGGTTGAGGCCTGAAGTGGAGTGGGTGTGCACATATCGCCGCACAGATCTGCAAAGGAACTAGTCAGATTAGAAATCTTTCTCGGAACAGATTTAAGATGGCTTAACCTACACTTTAATGGGCTTTAATGCAGATGTGGGAACAGTTCATTCAAGGCCTGTGGGCATACTGATGAGTACTCATTGATAGTAAATGTCACTACTCACAAAAATGCTCAATACTTTTGTGAACAGTATTATGCAGACAACAATCAAACAAGCAAAAGGACTGGTCATCATATGTTCTCTAACAAAGAAACATCTAGTTTGCGTCTTACTAAATATGTTGTTTGTGGCAGTTACCTGCACAAAACAGAACTGTCTTCTTCTCATTAGTTCATTCTCTATGCTTAGTCTTATTCAGTATTTTGAAGTGTGGAGCGTGTCCGAGCATGCTTTTGCACAAGCATGGAAGCACCCTGGACAGATCCCCAGTATGTTGTCATGCTAAAATCCCTTATTCTGAACTCTCACCCAGTGACTAACTTTTTAAGTTCTCCCAGAACAACAGGCAAGGGAAGGGGCATAGTCAGTCTTTAAGAATCACTTTAAATGCAGACTATTGTCGGTAGCTTTGAGGTGCGAGTTGAGCTGGCCTGCCGGCTGCTTTGTGCACTTGTGTAAAGACCACCAAAGTACAAGGACTTTCTGGATGAAATTTCTGACTTTCTATCTTTGATTGTTCCTAGCTTTGATAACATTGCCACAGAATACTAATTTTTAGGCTCATACTTAGGGTATACTTAGGGTTTGTTACATGCTTTAACATTTAAAAAACACATTACTTTTCTCACACTACCCATTGCTTCAGCACCTCTTTTTACCCTCTGTCTGAACACTCAATTTTCGCTCCTTATATGTACTGAACTCTTTTTATTCAACTATGCCAAAACTGGAAATTCAGTTTTCCATTCCACGGCACCTTTAATCCTTGGGGATTTTTAATATTTAAGCTCTTGTCCATCAAAGCCAGTGGTTAGCCGTTTCTAAAACTTGTGGACTCTATCTCAGTCTGTTACTGGTCCCACACATGATCATGGCCATAGACTTGATCTTGTTTGATCATTAAGTTCACACTGAACTGGGGTCCCTGGTATTACTTTGATTTTTAATTTTAGGGCCATTTCTAAATTCTTTTGTCGATCCTGCGATCAATTTTATTCTTTTTGTCTATGCTCCCTTTGGGCTCTATTCTAAGCATAATATCGCTATTATGCTGATGATACACAGCTGTACTTACTGCTAAAACCAGGTGATTCAAATTCCTTGCAGTCCACTTTTAACTGTCTTTTTTCAACTAACTGAGAATAAGACGGAAGTAATACTATTTGGCACCCCCAGCTTAATTGAGGAATAATCTAAAAATATGTACCTTGTCTACAAATGTACACCCCTTTGCCAGAAATGTATCTTTGTTGAGTTTTAATGCTGAATCAAACATTTTAATTCTGTTTTCAAGGCTACCTTTTTTTTTTCATCTGAGGACTATCACAAAACTGAAATCCTTTTTCTCTGTTAAGGACTTGTTTTACATGCTCTTATATTGTCATAAATTGATTATTGCAATTCCTTGTACTTTGGCATCTTTCACTTATAATTATTGCACTTGCAGCTTGTTCAGACTGCAGCTGCTAGATTGTTGACGATTTTGTTGTAGATTTTAAGGGCTGTAAATTGTTTTTAGGGCATAAAATGGACCGGCTCCCTCAAATATTTCAGATCTCCTTGTCCATTCATCCCCCACTACAGAGAATAAGTCTCATCTTAAAACTTTTTATTCTTTGGTATTTGAGTCTGTTTAGAGAAACTCTCTAACTGTTTTGTTTTTAACTCTTGTTTTCCATAGTTGTGTTTTTATTTGATTGGTCAGTTTGCACAGCACTTTGTTCAACATTGATTTTTTTTTTTAAATGTGAATTATAAATAAATTGACTAATAGTCACAGAAACACAGTCACATCATTACCTAGGGGCAATTAAACACTAGCAACAGGTCTGTCGTGGTAGACCGCGTCATTTAGTCTAGTAGTTTTCAGGTGCAATTTGGGGAGACAGAATTGTTTTAATGTTTTTATGTTATAGTAACTACCTGTAGTCAAGTAACGTTTTCTGTTGAAATTTGTGGTTCTGTTTTAAATGTTGTCCTTCTGCCTCAGCTTTTGTAAAAGGTCAGATGCAAGTCAAAAAGTAACCATGCTCTTTATCAAACAGAAGGGATTTTTCGGCACATTATTTGCCAAGGCGCGTGCTACAATGAGCCATGATGTTGCAGGAGTCTTCTTTTGGTTCATGTTAACTTGCCATCCACACAAAAAACAGAGGCGATTTCTGACCTTCTCGTGTCACTTGCTAATGAAATTAACCTGTTTGATGGAACATGCACTGTGCATTTTATTCATTTCTACTGTAATGACGCTGTCCTGCAGCCTTTTATGTTTAACGTCACTTCTGCCACTGTCACCTTAACCTCTGTTGTCTGCTGTCTTCATCAGGTCTGTAGTATTGGCTGACGGACCGTGTAAACGCGGCTTGTAAAAGAATCCCACCGTGGTAAGAAACGCTGCTGTTCTTTTGAATATCTGAAGGCATCGTTTTGCCCGTAGAGCAATAGATTAAAAGACCTCCTCCCTCATTTCCTCATCTCTCCCTGCCTCCTGTTTCTGCCCTCTCTCAGGTTGGTCATAGTGTATAGAGAGGAGCCTACTCCACTCTCCAGGCTCCTCAGCCATGGCTCTGCTGACCTACCTCAAGAGCCTGTTCATCCTGCAGTTGCTAATGGGCTTTGTGTTCGTGGTGAGCGGCCTCATCATAAACTTCATTCAGCTCTGCACCTGCATCCTCTGGCCAATCAACAAGCAGCTCTATCGCAGGATCAACTGCCGGCTCTCCTACTCCCTCTGGAGTCGTGAGTAGATGATACTCCTATTATGTTGCTATAAGTTCTAATTTTCTTTAATCCAAACCACAAGTTTCATATTTCAAAAACTGAAAAGAAAGAAAAGGCGCTAGGTAGTGTGTCATCACACTTGACCTGTTCACTTGCCACATGCATGTCTAGTATTCAGTCTCCTTTTATCTCTGAGATAAACCTCAATTTCACCAGGCCCCCATTTAATTTTTCTGCCATTTGATTCTGGGTGCGTCGTGTACAGTGGGTTTATCTACTTTTCAAGACTGCAAATGTCTGCCTTTGTAAGTTAATGACGTTATATTTACACCAAAATGACTTTAAAAATGCCCCTTACAGATTTAGAGTTTGCAGATAATTCTCTGTGGTTGTCATCAAGCTTCATCATTCACTGTGTATTAATCGACAAACTTGATGATGCATTTAGAGGAAAATGCCATAAATAGTTAAGCACATATTCAGTTGTCAGTATCTTCTCAATAAACATGATGTGTTGTCACCTCTGTGCAGAGCTGGTGATGCTGCTGGAGTGGTGGTCTGGGACCGAATGCACCCTATACATAGACCAAGCTACGGTGGACAAGTTTGGCAAAGAGCATGCCATCATCATCCTCAACCACAACTTCGAGATCGACTTCCTGTGTGGCTGGACCATGTGCGAAAGATATGGTGTTCTAGGGGTCAGTAATGTAGCAATATCTATACTGTAATCTTTTTTTAGGCTCAAAAAGATATTCAAACCCTTATCTCTACATAATGGAATGAATGCTTGTCAACTTTAGATGCTCTAAATGATCAAGTTGGGCTTAATTACTGACTGTGAGAAATCCAAATTCTAAACTTTTTTTATACAGCACTTTTTAAAATAAATGTTACAAAGTGCTTTAGATGGTCGAACTAGGTTTAAAAAATTCATGGCAGAAGAATGTAAATTCAGGCAATTAAGTGATACTCGAATTAAATAAAGATAAATACTACTAATAAAATACATTTATACATGTCCGCGATAAAGCTGCACGATAGAATTAACAAAAGGCTTCTTTTTAAAGATGGCTTTTGAGAAGGGATTTAAAAAATGTCACTGATTTAGCAAGCTTCAGATCTTCAATCAGGGAGTTCCAAGGCTGAGGGGTCCTCACTGTGAAAGGCTCAGCAAATCCTCAGTCACAGCCAGCAGAGCCCTGCCAGAGGATCTGAAGCTGCGCTCTGGCTCATAGGAGAGCAGCAATTCAGCAATGTAGCTGAGGCATTAAGTGTGTTAAAAGTGGTCAGTAAAATCTTACAAACAATTCTAAAACTAACCGGTAACCAGGTAGGCATCAAGTAGTTTTTTGGCTCGAACCTGAATACCATGAGTTACAGTAATCAATATGAAGTAAATGATGAATGACTTTCTTAAAATCAAGTCAAGAGAGTCCTGATTGTTGAGATGTTCCTTGATGAGTTTATAAAAACCTTTTGTAACTGTTTTTCAAATGAAAGTTCACTGTTACCCAGGTTACTGGCTGCAGGTGTCATATGAAAAGAGAGGGATGCAAGATGCATGTAAAAAAATAGAGATGGACTTAGGGGGACCTAAGAAGTTTTGGGTTTTTTGTCAGCTGGAGACGGTTTTGGGATATCTATCACATTATTTAACAGACAAGATAAAAGATGACTTAAATTGCCTTCATCACTGTTTTTTAAAATTTTTTTATGAATGTGTTTCTCATCTGCATAACAAAGGTACTGGATTTTGTGTTTATATATGATATGCATAAGTGGCAGCATGTACATACAAAACAACAAGGGGCCAAGGATGGAGCCGTGGGGGACACCACAGTCAGAGGGGCCACTGAAGACGAGGCTTTAACCATGACTACTGAAAACGTACTGTTTGATAAATTGGATTTAATATCTGTTATCCCTCTGTAGAGTTCAAAAGTGCTAGCCAAACATGAGCTACTGAAGGTCCCTCTGATTGGCTGGACCTGGTACTTCCTAGAAATAGTCTTCTGCAAAAGAAGATGGGAGGATGACCGAGACACTGTCTTCAATGGACTGAGCAGGCTCAAAGACTATCCTGAATTTATGTGGGTAGGTACATGTCTGTCAGACATTGTCTGTCTTCTGGCATGAGTGCAGTAGTAGGCTGGGTGTAAGGTTTGCTTAAATTCATTTCTGTGCTACTACACATCCATTTGCAAAAAACAGTCAACTCTGGGCCAGTTAAGCAATCAAGATTGTAAAATATGCTCTCAGACATGTAGTTAGTAAGAGTAGGTATCACAGTTTCCATTAAGGATCATAAATGCCAAATAAAGCGGCCAGGGCAAGGAATGTGGTCAGACAGTCAAACCAATTCATTTGGATGTGTGCACCAAACGTTAATGTGTGTGCACCCATAAATTGACTAATAATTCCTCATTGCAAACGAAAACTGAGCACAACTATGGCAAGTAATGTAGGTGAAAGGTCAACCAGGCATTCTGCTGTCTAAGCTATCTACATTAATCAGTTTGGTTAAGGGATATCACAGTGTGCCTTCACTGTTTCTTCCAAACAAGTTTAACTAAGCAGGGAGTTTGTTAAAAGCCTGTATGATTGTGTGACTGTATTGGTAGTAATAACGGAACAAACTAACATTGGCCAAAACTACAAAAATAAGATTGAAGTTGAGATCAACTGGAATTATTATTAATAAATCATTTTATGTCAGTTCTTTAGGTTACATAGGACAAAAACTACGAGGACATCCAGATGCTGCCCTTTGACCCAGTTTCTCTTATGTAGACTGATATCAGTAGTGATATACACACAGGTTCTCTGAGTGCACCAGCTGGGGGGGGGGGGGATTTTCTTCTGTGAAACCTCATGAACGGGTCTTTCCACTGTGCATAAAGAGTCTTCCCCTCCTTTTGGATGCAAAATATATTTTTTCTGTTACATACATTCTTACCTGGCGGCAGCAGGTGTTCCTGTTTGTTGTACTTTACTGAGCATTTAAAGCCCCTTGTGTTACAGGATGTGAAGCCGTGAGTCGGTTACCAACTGAGATTTAGCAGATCAGGAGTTGATCTAATTACCCCTTAAGTCAGGCTTCAGGCCACTGCTGATGACATAGTTTTTGTATGTTTAGATAAACAAACTAAACACTCTTGGGTAGAGATGTCATGTCATCAAGACCTTTATTGGAAGTGTAGTGTTACAGTGAGGCGCATGTGATCTGTAATTCAACCAAGCAGAGATAGGGTAGTGGATTGGACAAGAGAAAGGAGGTCACCTTAAATTTGTGTGGTGTTAACACAGCTGTTCTCCCTCCACAGTTCCTGCTGTATTGCGAGGGCACCCGCTTTACAGAGACAAAGCACCAAATCAGTATGCAGGTTGCAGAGAGTAAAGGCCTGCCCAAGCTCAAATACCACCTACTACCCCGGACCAAAGGATTCACCACCACACTGCAGTGTCTTAAGGGGACAGGTTGTGTTTACAAATGCACACACGCAAAGTTCATCATGCTCAAATTAAATGAGTGTTCTATTTCTAATGTCTAATTTTCCTCTCTTACAGTGACTGCTGTGTATGATGTAACTCTCAACTTCAAAGACAACCAAACTCCCACTCTCCTGGGCATCGTCAACGGCAAGACATACAAAGCTGACATGAGTGTAAGGTGAGTGCCAAAGATACCCTGCATTTACTTTTGAATCATTCGTTGTTGTAATAATGATGCATTACACTGCCAGCTGTGCTGAGTTTCTTCAAGTGGGAAAATGAGCAATGTATTTTAAACCTGTTGGCCTCCTACCAACTGCATTTTTGTCCCATAACAATGAAAGACACTGAGAGCACTCCAATGTTGGCTGCTTTCCCAGTACGTTTATGGTTTCAGAACAATAACTCTGATGGCCAGGACACTCCTACTGAGTAACGAGCTGGCCATGAGATGGAAACAGATTGGGATGGCTCTCACTGAGTGGCTGAGAAAAGCATGTCTTTTGTCTGGACTGCACAATTGAATTAGAGAAGAAATATAGCGTTTCCTTATTTTACCCAAATGAAACTAGGATAAGGAGGATACTGGAGGATACTGTTTTAGTTTTTTGGTAGCATGGGGGAGTCAGTTAAACAGACAAGTGGGTTTAAAGACTGATAGGCGATCCATGTTGCAGGGTGGAAGTGAGCTTTTGGTGAGGGTGTCCCCTAATGGTGAGAAATTGACATAGCATAATCATGAAACCTTTTCTATTGCACTGAGAGAAGTACAGCGGAAAATATTGTGTGAAGTGTCTGTGTGTCATTGTTACATCTTATTGTTTATTATTTTATGATTTGAGAGTCCTACTCCTCATCTGAATGTATTAAGTAGTTATTTTTCCTTGTTTAAAATGAAATATTTTAATTAGGTGTTGTAGTGCATATAAATTATGTGTGAATACTTTGTATGTAAAAGGATTTTGGCTTCACAAGTGATCTGACCACATTGGACTGAATTCAACAACCTGTCATCCATTGTGTTGTGTTTTGTGTTGTATTTTCTCAGCTGTTCATTATGTGTTCATTTCTAACTGTGACAAAAAACAATGTGTGTATGTTGGTTAATATAGTTGTTCTGTGTGGAGTGCTTACTCTGCTGTTTCACAAATCTAATGTTTTTTACCCAGTTTAATACTATGTGGCTGTGCACCTTTGTGTATGACTCTAAAAAATTAATATTATTCCATTCCTGTATCATGTTTTTTTAAAATCTTTCCCAACCAGGCGGTTCTCTGTGGAGGATATACCAGATGATGAAAAAGAGTGTGCAAACTGGCTGCACAGGCTCTACCAGGAGAAGGTAAACTGAGAAATGTGAACATTAAAGGCAAAATCTGTAATCAAATGTAACTAGGACCCACCACAAAAAAAGACCCAAGATTAAATCTTGGGTTTTTAGGAATTAAGTGATTGGCAGATATTTCTGTACACAAGCTACAGCAAGTTCATCTAATGCTGTAAAAGTTTTGTAAAAAATCTTTCCCCTAAGACCCAAATAATTTATTGTGAAAAATAAAGTAAACACAAAACCACAAACATTTGCCTCACGCTTCAGTCTGGTAGACTGTTGTTTCAGGTCAAATGAGCAATGGCATACATGATCAATTAAGAAAGTGCAAACCAATTCTTCTTCCTGTCATGCTCAGGACGCCTTACAGGAAATGTACAACAAGGAAGGCAAATTCCCCGGACCCACAGTAATCCCACGCCGCAGGCCATGGACGCTGCTGAACTTCCTGTTTTGGGCCACCCTGCTGCTTTCACCCCTCATCAACTTCGCTTGTGGAGTGGTCGTCAGTGGCTCCCCCCTCCTCATCATTGGCTTTATCCTCTTCCTCATCATAGGTAGGTAAACTGCACCAGCGCCCCTTTTTTAGAAAAATAACAAAAAAATTAAGATGGCTGCTTCTCAGAATCAGTTTTATTGCCAGGTATATGTACACATATGAGGAATTTAACTCAGGACTGTACATTGCTCACGATGTGCTTACTTATACAATAATAAAATAAAATCAGGCACAAACTATAGAGTAGACAACACTAATATTCACACTATGAACAAAACAATATAGACATATTGACAAATAGTGCAGTGATCAGAGTGCAAAGGATGCAGAGTAAACTATTGTCATTATGTACATGTTGAAGGTGGATATGATATACAGGTACACATACATGTACACAGTGTTCTTGGGTATTGAGGCCATTGTCTCTCAAAACTGAAATTGCTGAAGGCCCAGTGGTGTTTAACATTTGAATTGCTGTCCTCATTCATTCCACTCCTTCTTTTCTCCTTTGTTCTTTCCACAGCCTCCATAGCTATCCGCCGCCTCATAGGGGTCACAGAGGTGAAGAAAACCGGCTCTAGTTACGGCAACCCGGAGGCAAAGAAACAAAACTAAAGAAGTGATACCCCCTCCGTGTACGGCCGTTTCTGTACGGATTCCCTGTGGTGTTTCACCCCTACCCAACTCCATTCTCCTCTTACTGTTGAGTCAGTTGAAAGGCTAGGGAGGAGACCCAGCTGTGAAAACATAATAGAGACCAGAGTTAGAAATACCAATGGCACTAGGGTGAGAGAGAGTATGGAAGGTCTGGGCTTCAAACTTTCTGGTGTAACACAGAACATATATGGGGGGAGGCAGCGCTGTATTCCCCTGCATCTTTCTTAATCTAGCTAGTGACCTACTGTCCCCACCCGTCTCATGAAATCCCGATAACACCCAAGGTTAATCTCCTAACTTGTCTGAGGTCACATGGACAGTCAGTCAGTCCATTTCCTGCCCTGCGCTACCTACCTCCACTTCATGTCACAGTCATCAAGCCAATCAGGGAGTGTTGATGTGCTCATTCTCCTTTCCCACAGAACACAAGCCGATCCGTATCTGATCTTTTAAATCTTAACCTCCATCCAGGGGCAGTGCGTTTCTGCAACAGCAATCTGATACATGCAGGACATCTTCCTCCCTTTTTTTTCTCCACTAATTGAGAGTTGTAATGGGAACCGGTGCCTTGAGGCCCACCCTGGTTTCCTTACTTTTAAATGGTCTGTTCACTCAAATCACAAAACATTTACCATTTAACTTCTACGAATATAGGAGGCAGGGTCATTGTAAAAGTAAAAAAAATGAACAACAGTGTGTCTTTCCAGAAACAATGTCTCTGTTACTCTGGATCATGTTTGACAGTTTTCATCAGTGACTATATGTCGAATGTTAAAAAAAAAACAGAGTGAAAGCTGGCCATATTGACATCATTTGATTATCCAAGTAGCAGGCACATTGTTCCTGGAAAGAGACACTGCTCTTGAGTTTCAAATATCATTTTAAAAATATTTTCAGCACCACCAATGATATTCAGTTCACCTCCATTGTAATGGCTTAGCAGCAGAAATCTCAGGGGAGAGATCCCCCCCCCAAAATAAATGTGGTCTCATCATGACCTTTTTTTTTAACTGACCCCTGAACATCTTGGCTGGGAGATGCTGGTGGCTAAACTACAGCAAGAGCTCAGAATGTGAAAACTGTCCTCATCAAGGATACATACCATCCTTTACAGGTCTCATTTGTAGCCCACAGCACCAACACCTACAGATTCATTCTGACACATTTCAGTTATTTTTCCAATCTCTCTTCCTGTTTTTCATTTGTAAAACACAATTGGACCCCACATGTTGAAATGCAGGTTTGACTGTTCTGCTTTTGCTCTTGATGAATGGCAGATCTGGTGGAACCAGATTCCAGACAAAGGTCACCAACTGTCTTCATGTAGCCTCACAGCTGTTGGGATGTTTTGGTGTCCAGATATAGATTGTAGAGCTGATATTTGAACCTTTGCCTTAAATCAAGCCTGCTCAGGCAAGGGATTGCTTATTCGCCACCCCTTTAAAAACAGCACCCCAACTCTTACCTCTTGCGTTATGTTTGAAGATTCATCCTCTTCCTCCTTACAGTGCATGATGGAGTTGTCTTTCTTTCTTTTTTTTTGGTTTGATTACCAAAGTGAAAGAGTTATTGGAAAACCATTTTTAATCTTTATGGTAGAAAGCTAGAAAGTTGTTGGTTTGTTTAAGGCGTCCTTGTTAACTGTACATTGCCATTAGTTAAAGCCTTGTTTCTCTGAATGTCCCAGCCATTGTTTAATGCAGTTCTATACATTTCACTGTTTTTAGAATCGGTCATCCCAGAGGTGGTTGTTTTTGACTGACAAATTAAATATTGGCTAATGCAATCCAAGGGTAGATCCCTTCGAGTGTTACAAGTCACATTTCGTGGTCCCAAATACAAACAATGGTAGCAAAACATGGAGGGGATACTTTGTGTCATGCTTTTTCCTCTCCTCCCCCCTCCTGTGCCACATGTAGTAATAATCATAGATTTTGTTTTGTTAAATTTTTGGGGGACTCATCACTCCTCAGCAGTAATATGTCGTGTACTTCCTCTCTTGGTAAAGTAATCTCAACCCAGACAGATTTCATGCAAGCCTTAATAGACAGTTCTGCTTCATTTTTGTGTGAAAATGTAGAAGCTAACTGAACCCCTGTGGTAGTGATGTATTGAAATTTGGAAAAATGTCCTCCGGTATAGCAAGCAAGTTGCTGGGATTAGTTGCCAAGTTGGTGGTTCTAAAGTTTTAACATTAAGAATTAAAGCGAAATGAGAATGGAAGTCTAAGTACGGAGAGCTCTGTTCATAATCAGTTCTTTTTTTTTTTTTTTTTTTTTACAGTAAGTTACTTCAGTTGCTTTACCTCAAATATTTGTTAAAAGCTTTAGTATCTTAGCCTGGTATCTGTGTTTCCTTTGATACCGACATACAGCATCGGATACGAATGCAGTCCAACTCATCTTGTCATTCAGTAAAAATGATATCCCACAGCAGAAAGGATGCTGAGAAGATCAAACTTTTTACAGGGGATGTTTTTTATTCAGAAGACACAAATAACTTTTTTTTTTTTCCTGAGGTCTAGAATGGAATCAAATAAAATTACAAATTGACAACACTTTATGACTTTTGAAATCTCAAAGATAATTCAGTTAGTGGCACCTCTTGCGTCAGCTTTGTTTTGTTTTCTAAGGCTATTTCTATGTTTTCTTCAATTTAAACACTTGAGAATATTAAAGGATTTAATCACAAAGCCACTCTTACTCTTTTGACTTATTTGGATCTGTGTGAGTTTCTCTGTTTGCACAGCAGTTCAGATAAAATGAATATTGCTCAGCATGATACCAGGAGCAGGGGTTGCTGAATCTACAATTTCCTTCTTCCATCTTTTCTCCTTCATCAACAGAACCATTTTCGCAGAGGCACATTTACATCCATCATTCATCATGACATCCACAAATTTCCATTAAGATACAGTATAAAGTCACAAAGTGTGACAGTATGTAGAGACTGTGTAAACTGAAAATATGTACATAAAGGAAATGCGGAATGTCACATTCACTTTTAGAAATTGTAGAGATGTATTTAGCTGTTCCTTTGCAGTGCGAATGACCCATTAGCCAACTGTCCCATCAAGTGTCCTGAGGAAATCTTTGATATACAGGATATTGAGAGACTGTATAAATATGTAAATAATGTAAATGAGTCGATGTTCACTTTTAGAAATGGCAGAGATGTTCTTTGGTTCTTTTGCATTAGCTGTTTTGAATGACAGGCCATGCATTCAGGCTACAACCAGCTGTACCACTGATGGAAAAGCTACAGCAGAAGATTTAAGCTGAGCTGGCGTCCAAGGTGCAGTTTACAAATTATGTGCAAAGATTATACGTTACACTATCTCACTTTTCAGGTTTGCAACTGTAGAAGACCTTCAGGATGCATCTGTTCTAATTAAAGCCACAGACAGAAGGCTTGAGTCATTGATTATGCTTAGAAAGGATTTTTCCAACTTTGTAATTAATCATTGTTTCTTACTGTAGTCAGTTACTTTTTGCATGATGTGCACTATTGCACAGTCACTGAATCGAGTTAATTTTGACTCAGGGACTCTTAACAGCCTGGCAGTGGAACAGCTGTGGCATTAACACTGAATCTGAACCTGAATAAAAAGGCTTTCTGAGGAAGCTGGAAAAGTGTGATTCTTGTTTTTTCAACATTATACTTAATGTTATGATATCTTGAACCTCAAACTTTGTTTTCAACCACATGTTTTTCTATACAATATAACATTCATGACAAAAGAAGCAAAAATCAAACTTAGGGTTGAAGAAAAACATCCTTGGGTATTACTTAGGTCTAATAGGGGGTTAAAGTAGAACACTCAGCTAATCTTCCCAATCAGGACTGTGTGGATGTGATTTAATCAGGTTTGATTGAAAGCTCTGATTGGTGCACAGACCTTTTGGAAACCAGAGATAAACTGAAAACATTGATGATAACGCATAAATCTAACCCAAACCAATCCTATCGCCAATCTGCGGCTGATTGTTAAGCGTTTGTGTAGCAAAGACATCGACTAGACACTGACGGATTAACAGTGGTTATATTTATTTATTTTGGTGTAAATTATTGCTACAGTCCAGTGTAACAACGCTGGTAGGCCTACAAGTTTGTCCGCTGTGTGATAATTAGCCTAAATTATATCTTAAATCATTTCTTAGAGGAATAGGTTATATGACTGGTTGGGTTGTCTGGACTTTGACCGCTTATCAGCCAGAATGGTGAGTCAAACATTAAAACACAGGATTACTTTGGGGACAGACGATGTGGTTTCACTTATGTGTGTTTGTCTAAAACACTGATTTAAAATATAATATAGGCTAACTGATAAATATAGGCCTATGACAGAATAAAGATGGAAGAAAGAGCTTCGATGGGCTGCAGAGCCGAGACACGGAAAGGTATGCATAACATTTCACTTACCTTTAAAGTCTATGAGTAGGCTATTAAAAGTAGCTCTCGTCTTTGTGACAGTTATGTGACATTATGTTTATGGTTGTCAAAGAAAAGCAAGCGGGAAGTAATCAATATCCTAGCAAGGTCTATTTTGTAGCTGTCCTAGAGCTTAATTCAATTGCATTAAGTAAGAGGTTTTCAAAGTAAACAACAGTAAAACAAAAAAACTATTTTGCCTCTACTACTTTAAGAACTTCTCATCCATGTTTGCTAATAAATTGAGTTCAAAGTTTGTTCTTGACCTTGGAGAACAACTAAACAAACTCAGTCCATTTTGTAGCTGTTCTGGAGCTTTCGAGCGCATCACACAAGCTTCCTCATCAACCACTGTTTTCAATGTCCAAAATTAACATAGTTCAAGAGCATAGATCCTTCTAGGTTAATTGGAAATTGTTTTTGATCATGTTTTTAGTATAATTACAATACCTGCATTATATCAGGGCCTTGCTATGATGACATATTTTTGCACTGCTGCTGAATAATGTTGTCTGCTGCCAGGGAGTCTTCAGGAGCTGAGGATTGTCCTCCTGGGGCACGACTGGCTGGAGAAGAGTCTGACAGGAAACACCATCCTCGGCCGACAGATGTTTGATATCAACAGAGATGTGAAGATGTGTGTTAGGAGACAGGGCATTATTGATGATGGGCATAGGCGAGTTATTATCATCAACAGCCCTGAAAGGTGGATCCAGTACTCTGTCCGGGATCCGAGTCTGGTGAACAACAACATGTCATCCTGCGCAGCCATGTGCCCACCAGGACCTCATGCCTTTCTTTTGGTCATACCCATCAGCTCCCACCGAGGCAGGGAGTGGACAGTAGAGGGACCCCTTGAGCTGCTAAATAACACAGTGTGGAGAAACACAATAGTAATATTCACTAGATGTGAGAGACTGCTAGGGTCTTCCGTAGAGGGCTACACTGCAAAACATAGGTTTCTCAAAGCCCTTTTGGAGAGGTGTGGACATAGACATCACCTTTTAGACACAAGCATTTGGGGAAAAGATGATGTTACTCAGGTTGCAGAGCTTTTGGAGAAAATTGATGCAATGGTTGCAGGAAACATAAAGGCAGGGGTAGGTTGTTATGTGACCACAAATGAGGAAGTCCCTGGAAGAACTGATAGTAGAAAAAAGGAGGTAGAAGAGAGGGCGACTCTGAGAAGAATTAATGTGCAGAAGGCCAGAAGTACACTCAGATCTCTAATGGGTAAGTTTCACTTAAAGCATCGTAATAAATATTTTTATAATAACACTGGATCCAGTGACCATGTATAATATGGAAGGGGTCACATGTACTGATTTGTTTCACTCTCTGTGCTGTCATAGTGCAGCTTTTGGCCACAAAAAAGCTTTTAAAACCCTCACTGCATCCTACCTGCCCAGCACTAAACAGCTGACAGACAGCGACTAACTGGGGAACATAGGGGAGCATTTAGCAGCTAATCAGCCAAAATATTCCTTCAGGAGTTGTTGGAGACCACAATCTGAGCTAAAAGGAGACTGAATATTAATTTACAAATTATAATCCAAATTATAGTAGCCATGTTGCTTCATATCTGCTTGATGCGTAATTAGGAAATTGGACGCCACATCAATTTAAAAGGTGGTCTTACAGTATGTCAGTGCATGTTTTGCTGCCCCAAGTATAGAGAAACTCCGTTACAGCAGGTTTAAATTAACATGGTAACATTACAGTTGAATAAAACTACTCCCACACTACAACAATTTATTTACTTATTTATTTAAGTTATATCAAACAACAAAGGTTTCTTAGAACAAAGCTTTCCCCTTTTGTTTGGGTACCACTGACGTGTAATAAATTATATTTCTCAGTTCATCCAAACATGAGATTCCTCCAAAATGAAAATATATCCCTGATAAATATTATTGCCTAAATTCTGGATTTGCTTTTAATACAGGAGAGTCGCCCCCGATTTCAGTGCTTCGAATTCTCATTGTGGGACCAAAGCAGGTTGGGAAGAGCTCGGCTGGAAACACTATCCTTGGTGATGAAGTCTTTCCTGCTGGACATCCAACGTTACAGTGCACTGAGAGACACGGTGATGTTCACAAAAAGCGAGTCACTGTGGTTGACACCCCTGGCTGGCATGGGAGATACTGCTCAGAAGATACTCCACGGGAGTTACAACAGAGGATTACCCACAGTGCATCTCTGTGTGCCCCCAATCCCCATGCTGTCCTCGTGGTGGTACGCAGCGATGAGACTTTTACTGAAACCGACAGGTTGAATGTGGAGGAACACTTGAGCTTACTTGGATTTTGGGGGTGGACTCGAACCATTGTGCTGTTCACCTGGGGAGACAAACTGGGAGTCACTCCCATTGAGGAGCACATTGAGAAATGGCCTGCTCTTCAGTGGTTGGTGGACAAATGTGGAAATAGGTATCATGTTTTTGATAACTCAAACAAAGTTGAAGACATTCAGGTTAGAGAACTGCTGTCAAAGATTGAGGAAACAGAAGTGGGGAATGATACTGGACACTGGTTGCAGAGTTTTATGAAACTCAAAGAAAGCAACAGGAAGCTGGATCAAAACTCCAAAAAGTTTGCCATACAGCTCAAAAGGGCAAGGATGGACAATAATCTCCTGAGGCAAACAGTCAATGAGAAGGAGAGGATAGTAGAGGGCATGGCTAAGACAGCCAAAGGGAAAAATGAGCAGATTGAAGCTCTGAAGGCGTCGAGGGAAAGGGAGATAGAAGAGAGGAAAAATAAAGACTACGAACAAGAGATTGGCAGAAGATTAGTGGAGGCTGAGAGGGAGAACAAGCAGCTCAAACAAGTCATTATAGGAAAAGACAGAATGATAACAAGCCTCAGGGAAAGATGTGCGCTGAAAGATGGTGTGGTTAAAACTACAAAGCAAAGCAGTGAGGTTGAAAAGGAAGTGCAAAAAGAAAGAATAAAAGAACAAGAACGAGAGGCAGCAGGCATTATGAAAAAATGTGAGAAGAAAGATAAAGAGCTGGACCAAATGCTGATGAATCACAAAATAAAAGCAAAAGAGCTTAAAGAGACGATTGAACAGCTGAAGAAAGAAAATGACGATACAAAGAAGGCATTGAAAGCCACAATCAAAGGGATGCAGAGGCACAATCAAAAAAACGAAACCAGTAGAACCAATAAGATGAACACTGTGCATAACCACCACAGGAAAACAATCACGGACCTCAAGATGGAGTTAGGCCGACAACAAAAATGGGTGTTCACAGTACCATTGAGCCACCGTGGAGACACCGTTAAACCCAGTGAGTACGAACTAATCCACAGCATAAATCCAGAGTGAAACGATCTGGTGTAGTTTAAAAGATGAATATCCTTTAATTGACTGTAACCTTCCAAGTAAATGTCATTAACCTTTTTCAAGTTACAGAGACAGAACAGACAAGGCTGGTAGTTTTGGACCATGAGATCGTGCTACACGAAAAGGTGAGTGAAAATAGCTGAGTTCACCATTTTTGCAAAATAATTAATAAACCCAAACAGATCAATTAAATCTTTGCTGGAAATTGCATTAGGTGATTGATGCAACACACGTTACTTCTGTTAAACTGGTTTTTAATTATGTCACAAAGCCCAACTTTATTAATTTTAACAGGAGAAGTTAATTTTCTAAAGCCAGTCAATCTGGAGTTACCATTAACTACACCATACTGATAAGACCTGTGTTCTGGGGGGTTTCCTCCCCTGCATATCACAGAGATGTATCTGGGGAGCGAGAATGTATTCAGCAAATTTCATGGTAGTTTGCTTTTCAAATCTACATATACTGTATATGCACGACTGGTAATTTCAGCCCAACTGTGGTGCAACAGAAAATCTCGAAGCCATAAATATCCACCACATGTTTCAATTGAATTTGGAATTCTTCACAACTCTCTTTACCAAATTACACGATAATCCCTCCAATAGCTGTAAAGATATTTCAACTTTATTTCCATTTATCTTTTGTTATATTTAAGTCTGACTGTCCTTGGGTTTATTTAAAAAAAAAAAACAGATTCTTCTAGGAACATGAGATAATAAGTTGACCCAATACAGACAACAACCATGTACCAACATGTCAATTTAAATATTCTCACTACATATAACAGAAGCACATATTTTAATCACTCCTGTAAGGTCAAGGTCCAATGTATTTATAGTGCACTTTAAAAACAAACAAGGTTTGTGCCAAAGTACTTTCAACAAACGCAACTGAGCAGAAAGATATTATCACAAGACATAGGTACTTAAATACACACACATATACACATATACGCGTGCCTACAGACATTCCTGTATATCAATGTAAAATGCAAATCATGTCAAGAACCATTGCAGGGAAAGATAAAAGTCTAGCTTCAGCATTCTGTACCAGTTGTAACAGAGGCCTGGTTGATACCAAAATATTGGATGGAACAGTATGATATCTGTATTATTTTTATTTTATTGTAGAAAGATGTTAGCACATCCCCTCCTTTAATATCATCAAGACATTTTGAAACCGTAATGGGTCTGATTGGGTCATTGGGTTGGATGGTACAGCGTGCCATCTGCATAACAGTGAAATTAGATATCGTGATTCTGGTACAAGGGAGTCGTAGATTAACTTAGGCTTTTCAAAAATGTTAATGCTGTAAAGGAATGGTAGCATCTGTTGGAGGACTACTTTCTACTCACGAAGGACTAAAGTTATTTGGTGTTAGTGGATCAATGCTTGTTTTTTTTAAGAACGGGTTGGGTTGAACAGTTATACCTTATGTGGAGTGGCAATAGTGTTTTAATTTTATATTGCTGAATGGTGGGGTAGTAGTAGTAGATAGTATATTCATACAGTGATTCTTATTTTCATTCTGGTTCCATAGAGGGAGACTGCAGACCAAGAGTGGCAACTTGATTCTGACTGGACTCTGTCATGGCTGAGGGCTGGAGGTGCTGCGCTGGGAGCTGCAGTTGGGGCCCTTGCTGGCTCCTCCCAGGTGGCTACAAGGTTGTGCACCAGATCAGCTGTTGGGGCTGCGGCCGGGACTCTGCTGGGCAGCTTACTGGTCCAGGGAGCCAGGCCCCAGCAGAGGAAAACCGAATAATCCACCAACAGCAAGTGAACTTCTACCATAAGACATAAGATGCCTTTTAAGGCATCATGGACATAAAATTTCTTATACAGTAACTAGGAGAGCATCTGGATAATGCTTGGGAGGAAGAACATCTATAACCACCATAAATCAATGCACATATACAGGAGCATGTGCACTTGTTGACTATACAAGGAGCTCACTTAGCTAAGCTGTCCATCTATCTGTGAATACTGTAGTTTTTGTCCAATGTTAGGAAATGATTTAACTAACAACAGCAGTTCACACATTTTAAAACCTCTAATGTTGTCTTCACACTGACTTCAACCAAGCACTATCTCTTCTTTTCAGTTGGTTTTGTTATTTTACTGTGCAGTTACATAACATTGCAAAGTACAACAACAGATCCTCTTATTATTTTTCCAGTCTATAATACAGAATTTGATGCAGTGTGGAATCATGAATGGTTCAGTTGTCTCTCTGTTCATATTAAATCTAGACTGCTAAAGGATCTGATCAAAGATTGCGGGTCTAAGGCTTGAGTCAAGTTTTCAAACTGTGTACACCAAAAGTCAAATTGTGTATACCTTGTCTCGTAATATTACAGTAGACCAATCTCTTATTTTAGTTGAATAACTTCAGCGTTCATTGTTTTCCTATCAAAAAGAAGATTTATAATCCTATGGGCTTGAATAAACAGGTTAAAGAACTCTTTTTTTCCCTCAGTCAGTCAGATTGTTTAATCAGAGTTTGGGTTCTCAGTAGTTCCCAGTGTTCTTGTGTAGACTTGTGTAGGGAGTGATTAAACTGATATCAGTGGAGCCACTTCATCCTCAGAAGAGGTCTGAGCAGATAAATAAATGAAAACATCTGTGTGGGTGTACTGTGTTCGTCCTTGTGATGACATTGAAGGATTCTAAACCTTTAAGGCGTAGCTTTAGTTGGCAAATCTGCATTAATGGAGACAAATATGAACTCAATGAACTCAACGTTTTACGCATCAAAATCAGAGAGACGCAGCTCTGGCATTCTTTCTGTTGGACAAGTATGTTGTGTGTCGAAGTTGCTTGATGTTTAGCTGTGTTAGCAAAGTTGTTGATGTTTTTGATCACATGTAATATAATCAGAATCAGAATCAGTTTTATTGCCAGGTATGTGTACACATACGAGGAATTTGACTCAGGATTGTACATTGCTCACGATGTGCTTACTTATACAATATATAATAATATAATAATAATAAAATCAGATACAAACTACAGAATAGACCACACTAATATTCACACTATGAACAAAACAATATAGACATATTGACAAATAGTGCAGTAATCAGAGTGCAAAGGATGCAAGAGTAAACTATTGTCATTATGTACATGTTGAAGGTGGATATGATATACAGGCATACATGTACCCATGTACACAGTGTGATGGAGCATAGTGCAAAGGATGCTGGAAAAATAAAACAAGACCTACGACCTTATGACCTGAGGTGGGTGTATTGGTATACAGTATATACAATAATCATAATCATAACAAATGCACGGGTATAGCTGTCCTTATTTACAAGAGCAGTAAATGAATTAATTAACATTAATTTACTTTGAAACGGTACCAAATCACAAACAAATACCATTAAGTTACTCTGTAAACACCCATCACATCACAGGTCACTTATTCAAACTTGAAGTTGGGTGGAGTATGCTAGAATTACATGAAGTCATCAGACTTCACAAACTAATAAAAATTAAAGCTGGAAGCAGCGTGGAACAGACCCTCGCCCCCACACTGCAGTTATCAAACATTAAATGTGACAAATATCTGACAATGTGTGGTCAAAGTGCTACAGTTACTTATTTAAAAACATTGAATCTGTTAGCAGGCTTACTCATTTTGAAAGATTGTAAATGTGTCACCAAAAGTAGAATAATAGTAATCTTACCAAAAAACAATAGGTTTCTTGCACTTTCAGTGGCAGGGACGGTTGGGCCCTGGCAACTACTAGGAGGGACAAAGAGAAGTCATTCCATCACACACTTTACACACCTATATGGACTTTAGAAAGAGAAAACACCAGTGTGGGTGAAACATGGGTCTATAGGGTTGTTAAGTATAACATATTACAGAAGAAACTTAGTAATCACATCTATCCGAGTCACTATAAGCAGCTTATTATTATAACCATTTTTTCTATTTTACTTTACTTGTCATGCAGATTACCATCATATTGATATTTGTATATTTATTACAAGAATATAAAGAAATGAAATTAACTGCTTTGCTATTTACAAAATTTCGAAATACAGGACGCTACAGATGTTCTAACCGTTTTTCAAGTTAATGTACAACTTCAGTTACTCTACTGTGTATAATTCAAATACAGTACAGTGCTGTATATAAATATAGCTTACTGTAGTTAAAATTATGATTAGGCTGAAGCCTAAAACAGTACAAATACAGTAATGTCAGTAGTGCAAACAGGCTACTAAGCCACAGCTGGGTGGTGGTTTTAGTGCATTTATACATTTTTAACACCCTTTGTTAATCAAACATAAAAAACATATACTGAGGGCCTGTATTTATCCGTCATGTCCAGACAACAGATTGGGTCATTCTGCATACATTTTCTGGAAAACCTTAAAACAGAGATCATACATATATATCTTAAAGCAAAAACGCTTTTTATTATTGTTTTCCTATTAAATTGAACTAGAGATTAAACTTAATGGAAAAGTAATTTTCAGTATAAACTAAGTCAAGAATTCTGTTTCGTATTTTGGTCAGTTTAAATCCATATATTAGAGGATTAATAACAGGAGGAATCAGCAGTAATTCTATATGGATGAAGTTTTGAAAGCTTTGAGGTAAATCTGTGGAACCAAATCGCATATGCATCAAATCAAAAAGTACTACAACCAAGAAAGTGACTAGAGAGGTAAAATGAGGCACACATGTCTGCATAAACTTCACCCTGTCATCTTTGGACCTCACACAAGTTCTAATAAGATGCATATAAGTCCAAAATATGAAAAGGCCATGAGACACATACATGAAAATTATGGTATATGTAACTACATTGTTTGAGAAAGTGTCAGCTTCAGGGCAAGCAAGTTTAACAATCATCCAGTTGACACAAAATAGTCTGTGAATATATGTACTACATAACTTTAGTCTTGAAGTGAGCACAATATTTATGGAGGAAATGCAGAAAGGTGTCATCCAGGAGAAACATACCAGCAGAGACAACCTCCACTTTGTCATGAAAGAGTGGTAGTGCAGTGGTCGACATATAGCCAGATATCTGTCATAAGCCATAACTGCTAAAATTGACAAATCACAGCAAAGAAATGAGTGTATGATAAAAGCCTGTATAAAGCATCCTTCATATGAGATTTCTTGAGAAGAGGACAGCAGATCTAAGAGGAATTTGGGGTAGAAACCTGTGGTTCCTTGAAGTCCATTCATGCAAAAACTGCACAATAAGATGTACATAGGTTCATGCATGTTTTCATCTAAGATTATGATCATGATGACAGAGATATTTAAAAACAAAACCACACAATAATACAGTAAAGTGAGTGAAAAAATAGAAATTCTGTAATTTAGTGTCTCATCTATCCCTGAGAGAGTGAAAATTCTTACAACAGAAACATTAGTCATGATTAGAAAACAAATCGTTCTACCTGTCTACCAGTGTTACAACATACAGAAGCAGGTTACAAAGTAGTATGTGCAGTCTGTTCTGCCTCTGGTTCCTCTCCACACTATCTATAAATAACATCTTTGACTGTGACAACACAACAATTGGGAATTCAGTTGGTCCAGTAAAACATGGGGAGAAGTAATCAAAACAATTAAGAAGATAATTTGCCCAGCATAAAAAAATCATAATCTTTGGATCATCTGTCAACAAATCTGCAGTTACATTGCAAAGGCAACATTTGCATGAAATTATGGCTATTATTTTCATAATAGCTTATTTCACTATTGCCATCAGTTCTTTTAGACTTGTCTGCAGTCTTTGACACTGACGATCATACTGTTGTAATTGATCGGCTATGAAAATGGTTCAGGGTATCTGGTGTAGCTTTCCTGGGTCCCAGACTGAAGCATTTTAGTATTTCATAAAATTACTAAACAGAAATGTATCTTGTAACAATGAGATAAAACATCTTAATTAAAGTCCTAGTCTCCATGACTCCCAATTTACATTGTTCATTACAACATCCAGTAAGTTTTTTTTCACCAGAAAAAATCCAGTAATTTGATGTGTAAATTCTTAGAGCATCTCTTTCCTGCCGCACCTAGTTTTGTGGAAATTCATGAATAGCCAACTGGCTGTCATAGATTCAACCATTTCTGTCATAGGTTTTTGTCATAGAAGCCTTCATGACAGGACGAGATGGTGGCAATGTAGGTTTTGACCGTACTGAACGCCAGACCCCCGTCCATGAGCAGCTTGAAGAACGACAGCACCCCTGGCTAACCCACTCTCTCAAGAGAGAGAGGAGTCCAGCACCACACCCAGATAGGTGAGCCTCTGAGAGGAGAGAGGAGCGCTCTTCTTCCATTTCACCGTTAAACCCAGGTGAGACAGGTGTGCTATGAGCTTGGCTGTCTGCACCACCGCCTCGTCCTGAGAAGAAAAGCGCAGGAACTTCCTGTGTTCGAGGATGTCAGGAACGTGAAAGTATGTGTCCTTCAGGTCGATGGAGGGGAGCCAGTCTCCCTGACGCACACACTCCAACACCTGTTTTACTGTCAACATGCAAAAAGGTCTCTCCATAATCACTTTGTTGAACAGTGATAGATCCAGGATGGGCCTTACACCCTCCATTTTCTTTCTGTGGCATGGGAGGCCTGGCAGGCAGTGACCTCCATGCTCCACCGAACAGGAGAGCTTAGCTCCTGGCGGGGGGAAGGAGGGTCATGGCGCTCCCTGCTGCATGTTGGGCCTTTGTGAGTCAATCTGAAGTCAAGGCGAAGCCACCGGGGGAAGCGAGCCAATATTCATTCACGCTCCGCCGCTTGGGTGGGTGCGAGCCACATTGTGAGACACCTTCACACACAGTCAGATGGGTCTGTTTGTGTGTGCCAGGAGGGACCACACGAGGCAGTGTAGTCGCCCTTGTGGGTCCACAGCCGTACCGCATTCCTGGTGGGGGAAGGAAGGCAAAGGCAGACATAGCCGCTAGGGTCCGCACGAGGTGGTGCATCCACACTTGTGGGCTCATTACCATGCCACTCCCCCAGGCTCATCTCCGTTGGGAAGAGGAGGGGGAGGACAGTGTTGGCATACATGTGGGCCGAGGCCAGCCACCTGACCATGTCAGGGATGGGGGCAAGGAGAGAGAGAATGTGCAGCTTTGCAGCAAGCCCAAGGTGTTTGTTAGTTGTTCGGGTTGAGCGGGGAGCCGCTGCGAAGGCTTCGTCCAGAGGGAAGCCGGCGTGCTGCAGTCTGAGGCACATCTCGCATCGGGGATGGAGGTCCCCTGACAGGACGAAATCACGGATTTTTGCTTGTTGCTTGCCCTGTTCTTCACTCAATATAGTTTTCCCAAATGTCAATAGTATTTGAAAATGATGAGTTCCTATTGTATATCTGGCCAAAAAATCCCACTCTCCAACCCTTGCTAGTTCACTGGATGCTATTGTTGTAGTATCTGTCTTGATACCACTTTTTGATGGTCTTGGTCTCTTTTGATGGCCACATTTGTATTCGGTTTGTCTTGGTCTCGGACACTAACGACTAGGGATTTTATTTCATGACCAGTCAAGATCATAAATTTGCAAAGAACAATAAATTGCTTATGCATTGTCTAATTTAATTGTTAACATCATAATTTTTATTGGATGTAAAACGTATTCCTTCAAATGCAACCAATAACTTTAAAATGTGTTGTCGCCCGTCACGTGTGGAATGAAGATGCTTTCATTGATTTCAGCTCTTTGTGTTTGTATGTGGGTGTTTAAATGGGAATGTGGATTTTTAAGATCAATTTGAGAAGTACCTATTATCTCGTTCCACATTTTATTGTGTGTCATGTAATGTGGGGAACTGGTCTTGGTCTTGACTTGGTCTCGGTTTGGGTGGTCTTGACTACAACACTACTGGATGCTAATGCTAAGTCTATGTCTGAGACACAATCTCCACCTGTCCATAAATTCCTCTATAGTGTTCCCATTATCATCCTTTATTCTACTACCCCAAGGAGGGTTGTGGGAGATAAAATCCCCCCACCCAAATGATCTGGTTCCCTATTTGTTCCATAACCTTCTCCAACTCATTTAAATTTATTTGTAAACAAGGATTATAAAAGTTTACTATTATAATAATAATAATAATAATAATAATATAATAATAATAATAATAATAATAATAATACATTTTATTTATAACGCACTTTTCATCAAAAGATTTCAAAGTGCTACAAGTTAGAAAAAACAAAAATGAGCAGTTCTTTAGAAAACATCTAACATCAAACAACAAACATCTAAAGGGGACCAAAAGCTTTGCTAAACAGAAATGTCTTAAGGCCTTTTTTAAAACAGTCAGTGGATTGAGGTGCCCTTAAGGTGTCAGGGAGGGCATTCCACAGATGTGGGGCAGCAGCACAAAATGCCGTTGTCCTGAGTCTGGTTCTGGGTAGGTGGAGGAGGTTTGAGTGAGTGGAGTGAAGGGAACGGGTTGTGTTTCCCAATGAGAAGTGTGCTGTCCCTATATCTTTACTATAACACATTCTAGTTTGGACTTGATCTGTACTTTCTGGTACTGTACATCTGATATTATAAATGTTGCATGCCCTCCTCCTGATTTTCCATTTTGATCATATCTGACACTTTCGTATCCAGGAATCACAAAATCCAAGCATGGTTTAAGCCAAGTTTCATCACCTCTGGTAAATCTTTAAATTCGTCTGCAAATATCTTAAATTCCTGCCCGTTAGCCACCAAACTCCGTGCATTCCATTGTGTCTTTCTGCAGCATCCACCACAACTTTAATAATGTCAGATCTTCTGGACTGGTCTCTAGCTACCCACAGAACATCTACCATGAATGCCAGGAACGACTGGGTTCCGACGATCTGCTTAGCTTTCTCCTTAACTGGAGGGAGATCAGAAGTTCCCCCGTTCCCCTCACTTAAACAGCTCTAACATGATCCTCACACCCCGACTAAGGATTTACATAGTCGAATCAGAATCATCAAGCCCTGCCCATAGTCAACCGATAGTCGAATCATGTGTGTTTTTGTGCACGGCGATTGCAAGCGGGGGTAGGGGTGGGTAACACATAGTAGCTCTGCTTTAATCTTGAGAAGCTACAAAGCTGCAGTCTCTATTCATTCAACTTACACTGTAAATTTCCAGCTTTCTAGCTAGGCTTCTTGAAGACCCTTTTCTCTCTCTCTCTCTCCCGGTCTTGTGTGAGTTTTGCATGCATGCTGCCGACAACTAAATACACATTGCGGTTCCTCACGGGTCTATTTCAAGTAGCCGGCTATTTAAAAACAATAAACTATTCTTTGTGCGGTTCATCAACGGTGATAAATTATCTGAAAGTCCAGCGAGGTGTGGATAACTCAGCACAACACCAGTTGCTGGGGCTCTGTCTCTTCAGCAAGTGTTCCTCCACTGCCAATTCACACATACACACTACGCCTACACATGTGCACTGATGCCCCAGGGTTAGGGTTACAATTTTGGATTCATTCTCACACTTTAAAAACATTTATTGAAAGTTTTAGTCTTTTTACATGTTTATTTACAGCATTAAATGTTGAAATGTATATTGTAATAGGCTGTATATTAACTTATTGGAAGAAAACTGGTAGTTCTATGTAAAATCAGATGTTGAGCACCCCCATATTGCCAAAATGGCACGATCTTTGTTTCACTGCAAAGCTTCGACTGTGAGATTGACAGACGAATCAGGCTCTACCCAAACCAAGCATCAAATCTTCGACTATTCGGTGTCAGCCCTACAAGACACATGATTTCTACCACAGTTACAGCATTTAACTTCATCATCCTGACATTGAGTAAAATCATGGCTTCCTCCACACAATTTACACCTTTTATTTTCTCCGCTTGCTGCTGCTACGTGCCTATAGCGCTGACCATTGTAACAGCACAGCGGTGGACGGATGTATTATCTCACTGGAAAGCTCATATATCCTAGATTGACTCTTGTTGGCACATTATCTTAATACCACAGCAGTGCCAGGTTCTTTGAATCTCCGTACTACTTCAATCTCAGCTCCCTTTAAATTCTTCAAAATGGCACTCTCTGTCATCTCAGGGCATACGTATATTATTCCTTTAGCATTTTTAACTTGACGAGGAATGAAACGTTCTATAGGCCTGTTAAGCAGATGGTGAACTTTAAGGGTATTCAACCTCTGACCATCATTTCTGCAGAAAACAAGTATATTTCCATTAATCATCATTTTAACATTCAGAAGTGTTCCCATTTTGTTTTTTAGCTCCTCCGACAGTCAGAGGGGGTTTAAGGCCTTGTCACTCTTATCTTTAAATTTAACAATCAGCTTAAATCCACACCCCTCCTCAAAACTTGATATTTTCCTCATGCTTTGGGAATTGTCACTCTCACTCCCATTGTCAGATCTGTCTTTTTTTCAGTTTGCCAGGGAATTTTATAATTACTCCCACCTCCCTAACTTGGCTTTCTTTTCAGCTGCATGTCCTCTCCCCCGTCACGGAAGC